CATGATAATTGGGCTTGGATTCGACGGATGGAGTGACATCCGCAGCTCTCCAGCAAGTTAGCGGGGTGAAAAGCACGCCGTCCTACCTGCGAGACGTGAAATTTGTAAACAATTGGCATGATTGATTTTTATTTTAAAAATAAAATAAAATATAAATATGTTTTATGTTTTATGTTTTATGTTTTTTTTATTTTTTTATAATATTTACTGTATTTCTTATAATTGATATGAATTAATATTCTCTTTTATATATAGCATAATAATTATTATTAATTTTATATTAATAAAAATTATAATTTGATTTAATTATAAAACATATTAATACTTTCTAGTCTTTAAATTATCACAAAATTATAATCATTAATATTAAAAAAATTATAAAATAACTTTTTAAAATTATAAATATCGTAATAATTATTTTTTATTGTAACAAAAATTAAACATTTAAAAATAAATTCATTTGAATAAAATGTAAAAAATATTTTAAAAATTTATATAAAATTTATTTAAATGAATTTTATTCTCATAAAAAGAAAAGAGGAAAAAACATATTTATATTTTTTTAATTGTTAATAATATTAGTACTTATTAACAACCCTTTTCTTCTACCCTAATCTCTAACTACCCCTACTACTCTCATCTCCCACTCACCTTAATACTCAAACATATTTTAAGAAATGAGAATAGTATGATTTATAAATTGAGAGTAGTATGGTTCATAAATTATTGACAAGATTGGTATTTATATTTTTTTTTTATTAATTAAGGTAGTCATGCAACTGTTTTAAAAAAATTGTTGGTTTATATATTATAGTTAAAATTGATGATACTACAAAAAATAAAAAATAAACACAACATAAACCACTAAATATAATTAATGTTAAAAAGAAAAAATAATCAGTATTCTTAAAATATGTTTATGAAATTTTAAAAAGAGAAAAAAATAGTGCATATTTTTTTATTTTATAAAAAAATTATATATGATAATAATATAATTTTTTATTTTAAGGAATATTAATTTTAAATATTTATTTAAAATATAAATATTTCCTTTTTCTCTCTTTTAAAATTCTTCTTCTGAGAGAACCCTCTTAAAAAATCAATTTTTGATGCATATTAAGCTTTTAATCAATACATTTTGAACAAACGATAAGAAAATGTTTACTTTCAAGAGGTAGACCTGTATATGTAGTTCACTGTTTAGCTATTGTTTATTGTTTTGTAAAGCTCTTGGAGCTTTGAGTCAGAGTTTTGAAATGAGATTATTCAACCATAAATCTTATCCGTTTAATTTAAATAAATGCTACTAATTTATAATTTGACAAAGTGTCTTTTTGCTTACTCCTCTGCGCTTAAAAGTCACCTGACTATTCAAAATGTCACGGAACACCGCGCAATTAATTTGAAATATTTTGGGCCTTCAAATCCACCATCCATCATCAATGACATATTCACCCAGTCCAGTCAATTCCACAGATATGCGATATTTCAATTCCACTGGCTAATTATGCTTTTATATTTATGAGTAAATTAAATTTTTAATAAAAATTCAATTCATATAATATTAATTTAAAATTATTTTTTAATTCATATAATAAAAATTAATGTAAATATATTTGAATATATTTTTAATAAAATATTGATGTTTAGAAAAATATATATAATACTAGATTACATGATCCTTTATGTTATTATTACTTTTCCTTTCACTTAATAGAATTAAGGAATTAAAACTGAAAAAGAAATATTCTATCTTTTAATATAAAATAATTATAAATAAATTGGATTTTTTATAAAGCTATAATTGTTATATAAGGAAGCTAGTAAAATTGTAATTTTACTTCGCTCATTTAAAAAAGAATTAGTTTAAATATTTTAATTGCCTTCAACTATTTATTATAATTGAAAACGTAGATTAATTAATAAAAGATTGTTTTTGGTTCAAGAGAATTTTGTTGTTATAATAATTTTACTTAAATTAAGTCGTGTTACTGTTTATAAAAGATTCATACTATTTACATAAAATAAAATTTCAATTATAATTATTAATGAAATAAAAAATATAAGTTAATCTAATAAAAAATATAATATACTGAGATTTTAATTAATAATATATAATAAATTAATATCTATTAATACATATATGTATAATAAAAATGAAGTTATTAGTATACATAACATTATGTGTTTATTAAATTACATAATGGTATTTGAATGTTAGTATAATACATAATATAATTAATATAAATTCAAATTAAATACCTCTTATGACAGTTTAGTTTACATTAAACAATAGTTACAGTGATGGAAGTATTTTTAACACTTATATTTGTTGTCTAATATTAAATAATAGTATTTCCTATAATGATAATTATAATTTTAAAATCAAGTTTATTTAATACTTTTCTTAATTCTTTTGTCAAACATCAAACGGAAGGATTATTTGATAGCGAACTAATCAATGTCGTGCATCATGCATCAAGAATTTCTCGTCCCTCGAATAATTGACTATTATTTGGAATTTTTTTCCTCCAGCATTATCAGGCCCTGGCCAGAAAGGACATATTATATCAGCAAGACGTAGAAGTTCTATTTAGTATATTTGGTCAATCAAACCTACTGATTTAACAATCTCAAAACTTCCCATCAATAGCAAATTTATATTTATATTTTTAATATATATTTTAGGATGTTTTTAACTTTATTCTTTAAAATTAAAGATAAGTAATTAATAATAATAAAATTTTATTTAAAAATATTTATTATATTTTTATAATTTTAATACAATAATTATATATTTTTATAAAAAATTTTATTTATTGACGCTTAAATTTGTAACTTCAAATATTTTTACAAAATTTCATTTATTTCAATTGCTAAAAATCAAGATTCAAACATATTTATCCCTCAAAGTAAATTCTTTTAAGAGCGCTTAAAATGAAGCGTTGAAAACCACGAACAATAAATTACTCGGAAAAGTAACGAATAAAACCTCAGAACTTTCGGATTTAATAGCTTACAATATTGAGTCAATCATGCAAATTATTAAAAAATAAAAGAAAATTATTTTGCTCCTAAAAGTAAAGATAAATAAATAAAACATATATATACGAGGAAACGCTTGCTTCTTCTAGAAAAAAAAAAGTCAATTTTAATTTAAAGAAAATTATTTTAGAAAAAAAATTATTTAAAAAATAAAATTATTTCTTATAAGATACAAAATAACATGCCTACTTGTGGAGGTATATAGTTTTTGATACAAATAAAATAAAAAGAATTCAATATTACATATATGCACTGAAATAAAATATTTTATATAAAAGACTTTGATTTAAATTATATAGAAGTCAATTAAAATTAATTTTAAACACGAATACAGAAGTCGATTATAATTGTTTTTAAAAGTTCAATGAAGAAGTTAATTATAATTGATTTCTATGTTACAAAATAATTAATTTTGTATTTGTGTTTAAAATTGGTTTTAATCGACTTTTATATAATTTAAATTAAGATATTTATGTAAAACATTTTATTTCAGTGTATATATGTAATATTGAATTTTTTATATTTTATTTTTGTAAAAAACCCGAATGTATGTGATACTCATAACTCTTAAGGGTGTGTAAGCATGTATTAAGGGTATTTGATAAATCTACATTTGGAGTAGATTTATTTACTCAAATATTAATATTTTTGCATAAAATTTGATGATTTATATATATGATTCAGCTTTAAATGCTGGGTTGTGTATTTGTGTTGTTTAATTGAGTTTTAGGTAATGTTTTATTAATTTGATGTTAATGACTAAGTTATGGACGAGTTAATAAAGGAGTAGTCGTAAGAAGATAAAAAAACAGGAAGTAAAAAATTATCGTAATTGCAACGAACATTAGAATGTTAAATATTGAGCATTGGGATAACGAGGAATAAGTAATCTAGTTCACAGCACCTTCCATGTTGAAACCTTAAAAAATGAAGTTAGAAAGCTAAGGGACTAAAATTCAAAAGGTTTACTGCTACTTCTGTATAACACACACGTTCAATATCTTACTTCCAAACATTCTTTTAAATTTGAGACAATTTTTTGACTTTTATTCATTTTCTTCTCTACTCACGTAGCTTCACTATAACTTTTTTGAAGTTAAAAATAGTGCCTAAAAGAACCAAAAAATGTTATTCATTGTTTAAATTAAATTATTTGTAGTTTCTAAACTATGTCTACTACTCAAAAGCTTATACAAATATTTTTAATATATATTTATTTTAGAAAATGTAAATTTTATAGTTTTGAATATAAGTTTGTTTATAAATAATTTTTTAAAATCTTATTGAACATTTGCTGATATCCATATTCATTGTCTATTACCTTCCTTGAAATTCTAAAGTAATTGTGTAATTAATTTATTAGTGTTTTTTTAATTACTGTGAGTGGAAAATAATTAAAATATTGTGTTTTATGATCATTTTATTTTAATTAATTTTTTATTGTTGCTTAATATTATTTATTTGGGGAATAATTTTCTATTATTCAGTAAAAAACTTGGAGAAATAATTTTCAAGTGTAAAAAAGTAATTATGTTAATTTTGTTTGATAATGTTTAATTCTGCAATAAATAGATTGAAACTTCTATTACTAAAAATAAATACAATTTATGCTTGAAAATATTTTTTTTATGATGTACACATATTTTTATATTTGAATGAATTATTGCTAGAATATCATAACTGTTAGTAAAAGTAACAATTGATGTGCATCTAATTATATTTTAGGGGAGGTGGTTCTTTGTTAAATATAGTTATAAAAATTAATAACAACGATTTATATTAATAATGATGTATCGTATTTATAATTTAATTGTTGTGTATGATTATATCTAGTAAAGGCAGAGGAAAAAATCAGCATTTATTTCTACTTCTTAGACTACGTACGACTAAGCTTTTATTTCCAATACATGAAACAGATTCTCCAAATGTGGTGACATCAACAGACACTGGGAACGTTATATAATAGCATCATGAAGTGAGAGATCATAAACAGTGGGAATCAAACACAACTCAGTTTCCCTTCCAACGGCCATTCCAAAGTGTTCAGTCATATCCAAATCATCAGGTTTCATGTTATTTGGGAGTTCCCAGTTGAAGTGATAGAGTAATCGAGCCAGTGGAAGCACAACGCTGGCTAAACCAAATGTCATGCCTGGGCACATTCTCCTTCCAGCCCCAAAAGGTATAAACTCGAAGTTATTCCCTTTGAAATCAATTGAACTACCTTCAAACCTCTCTGGGACAAACCTTTCAGCATCACTCCAATATTGTGGATCTCTTCCAAGTGCCCATGCATTTATCATGATTTCAGTCTTTACTGGTATGTCATACCCGTCAATGTTGGTTAATTGATTGCTTTCTCTAGGGATCAACAAAGGAGAAGGTGGGTGCAACCTCAATGTTTCTTTGATCACACACTTCAAGTAACTAAGTTCTTCTAGATCACTTTCACTGATTATTTCCTTTCCATTGAATGCTTTTCTTAATTCAGCTTGTGCTTTCTCCCTCACTCTTGGGTTTTTCATCATTTCTGACATAGCCCACTCTATTGTCGTTGATGAGGTATCAGTTCCAGCAGCAAATACGTCCTGCATGAACAATAGAAATATTTTCATATAATCTTTTGCATAAGGGAAAAATAATGAATTAAAACGAAAAGGGTAGTTCAATAAAATCGATTAGTTAATTACACCATCAATTTGATAAATAATTTTTGTGTAATGTGATTTTAATTTTTATCCAATTATTAAATTATAGCTACGTATTGCCATATATATATATATATATATATATATATATATATATATATATATATATATAATGGCAACTCTAATTTAATAGTAAGTTTTGAAATATATTTAGAGTATGTTTGGATATATGATTTAATTAAAATTTTATATAATATATTTTTTAAAATTATGATTTATATCATAAACTTAATTATTAAAATTAATTAAAAATAACTTATTTTAATATGTTATGTAAAAAAAGTATAAACATAAGTTTAAAAAATTGAGAATTATGAATTATTTTTATAAATTATTTATAAATGTGTCCTTATTTGATAAAAAATCATTGAACATATTTTGACTTACACTAATGTATTATGTAAACCGATCTCTCTCTGTACGCTAACATCATTAGTAACTCCGCGATTTTAGATGTTGGTAAATATTAAAATGCAGCAGCTATGTGCTTTACGTAATATTATTCAAGCATTTCAAAAGTGTTGTCAGCTCCTCATAAAGACAGTTGCTTGTGAACATATATTAAGAAGTATTTTTCTGAGAAAAATGTGCACTGTGTAAATATTTCTAACTATAGTCTTGTGACGGTAAGTTAGATTTGGTAGAATTAAATAAAGAAAAATCAGTTAGTGCCTTAAAATAATGATTAAATAATAAAAAAAAATATTTTTTGAAAAACTATTATTAGTACAGCTTCTTCGAGATATTAATTATAATGCATCAATATGCTTTTTAATAAAAGAAAATCATTTTGAATTTCTGAATTAATATTAATTAATCAGACACTTAAATTTTTGAGTTCTGTGTCATGGTTACTAACCCAAATGACAGCTTTGATGTTATCGGTTGTTATTTGGATGTCAAGGCTGCCACTTTGTTGGATTCTCAGAAGAACATCTACAAGATCTTCTTGCTCTACTTCAGTGTTGGCTTCTCTTGCTGTTGCATGCTTTTCTTTGTGCTGTCTGACAATCTTTTCTAAGATTTTATCTGCCCGCTCGTGAATTTTCTCGAATTTGGGTTTCACTCCAGTTAGTATATGAATAGGTTTTATTGAAGGAAACAAATCAGCCAGTTCAAATCCTCCTGTCATTGCTATTGATTTTCTGACCAAAGATACAAATTCATCTTGGTCCTCAGATTTGTTACCAAATGCTGCCCTGGAAACAGAAGTACCTAACAAAGAGAAAATTCTGCTGGTAAGGTTGATTACTGAGCCTGCTGATGACTTAATTGATTCTATGAATTTTCTTGTCTCATCTTCTCTAATATAAGAGAAAGATTGAACCCTCTTGAGACTTAGAAGCTCTAACACACATATTTTCTTCATTTGTCTCCAGTAGTCACCATATGGAGCAAAAGCAATATCTGTTGACCCATAGGCCAAAATTTGAGGAGAAAGAAGTTGTGGCCTTTGCGCAAAAGCAAGATCATGGGTTTTTGTTATCTCCTTGGCCAACCTTGGTGAGGATACAACCACCATAGAAATTTCACCAAGCTGTAGGTGCATGAGAGGTCCATATTTATAGGCGAGTTCTCGGAGAAAATGATGTGGAAGTGAACCTGCTAGTGCTAATTGATGCAAGTTCCCTATGAAAGGAAATTTCCTTGGGCCTGGGGGCAATTTGTGATTGGTTTTTGGCTTGTGACTTTTAACAAGCCAATGATACAGCAAGAACAATAAGAAGGTAATAACAATGGTTAGTAGAAATTCCATTGCTATAACACAAGTCTCAATAGTCTATTGTTTGCTGAGAATGCTGAGATACTGCTTTCTATTTATAGAATCTTAAATCTACAAAAATAACAGTCTACACATTATTTTATTGTCTTAGTTGCAATTTTAATTTAAAATGTGTGTAATTTTAATCTTTAAAAATGTGAATTTTGATTAAGTCTAATCTTAATGTTTATGTAGTCAACTTTATTTAATAAGACAAGACTTTAGTGTAATTGTGTATAATTTTGATTTTTAATGTTTTTTTAGTTAATTAAGTTTTTTGTTGTTATAATTATACAAATTTAGTATTTATTATTATTATTTACCAAAATTTTTTATTTATTTATTAAAAATATTAGAGGTTTGCATTAGAATTGAAAGATAAAATAATTTCAAAAGTTTAAAAGTAAAAAGATTAGTAAAAAAAGTAATAAATTGCGAAAGATTTTATAAGATGTAAGTGTAGAATTTGAAGAGAAAAAAAAATTGATTTCTTTTCATTGGAGTGAAATTTAATATTTTGATTGGTGAACTTTGTGTAGAAAATAATTTAATCATTTTAATTTATAAAAGATTTGAATAGAAAATAAAAAATTGAGAGTTTTAGATTAAAAAACAATGAAAGATTTGAAAAATAGAGAAACTCAATAATTAATTTTAAATAAATTAAAAATATTAAAATTGCACATTCAAACTAAAAGAAGAAAAATATAATTAAGCCTATTTTATTTTATTTTTGGTGAAAATCTATATTCGACGAAGAATAGAACGAGTCATGGGTATTACATAACTTTTTTCACAGTGAAAATGACTTCTTCTTTTTTTTTTCGTTCCAGAAAGTTGTGGCGAAAACCAGCATTATGCATATTTTAATATTAGGGCAGATTTTGAATTTAGGTTCAATTTCAGTTCTTAAACATTTAAATTAGATTAGATACGCATCATATGCGTTGCTTCATTGAATTTTGTGTTACATAGAGTTCTATTTTGATCCTCTATAAACTCCTTAACGCATTTCATCATTAATGGGTTAAAGATAATCCATATTTTTTTATCAGATTATAAATGATGATTTGGGTGGAGGGAGGTTACTTAATATTTAATTAAGGATCTAACTCATCTAAGAAAACAATCAAGTCGGAACATATGATTTTGTTGAAAAATTTAATTATACATTACCATCATATATAGCTTAAAATTAAAATCATTTAAATAATATATCCTGTTCTATTTCACATTGAGTGTCAAATTTAAATATTTGTACAATTTAATATTTTTTATATAATATAAAATCAACTAATCCAAAAGTAAATATATATTTATATTTTAAAAATATATTATTCATTAGAATAATATAATTAAATATTTATTATTTTTCATATAAAGTTTTATAAAATTAATCTATTTGATAAAAAAATTAAATTAATCTTATATTTTATAAAAGAATATTAATATAAAAATTAAGTGTGACATCTTAATATGAAAAATTTTAAAAGTTTTTACTCTCTTTAAGTTAAATAGAAAATTCAGATTGAATGTGAGTGTTTTTAGATTTATAAGAAAATTCTTTCCCATATATCTATTTTTTAGAATAATTTGACTTACTCCATATTTAATTACTCAATAAAAAAATAGAATGAGCCATTTAAAATGATGATTCCGGCCCATCGAAAATTAGAAGGTGAGTCCAAAGAATATAAGGGACTTTTAATGGATGACGTTTTCGATTAACGAGAAATTCTATTTGTCTAAAATCAAATAAAATAGTATACACTGTTATATAAAAGGTTTTTGCCTTTTATGGTATGAAAGATAGTCATATTATTTGTATACATTTCGAGATTCTAATTTATAACTAAAAGAAAAAGAAGCATAATTATAACAACTTATTTACAATATAATCAAGCAGCACGGATGCATATGTATGTATTTATAAAATCAATACAATTTTTAAATACATTAATCAAAAGTATGTAACATTTATTTCAATAATATATATATATATATATATATATTTTAAAATGAATTAATTTTTAATAATTAATTAAAAATATATTTAATACATATAAAATATAATATACATTAAAGACTATTTTATTTTTTCCTTTTATTTAATTACTCGATCCATAAATGTAATTAAGTACAATTTTAAAAATAAGGATAGAGTTAATATTATAATAATTAAAATATAAATTAAGTAGTAAAATGAATTAATTTTTTAATAAGTTAAACTTAATTTATACTTCTTTAATTTTTTAAAATTTATTTATTTATTTATTTATTAAAATTTGAGAACATAAATTATTTTTAACATATAAAAAAATTTATATTAATTTTTTTCTTATTAAGATTTTTTAAATGTATCCAAACGGAATGAATATTATAAATTGTTAGTCATATTCACGGTATCGTTCTATTTATGTTGATAATTATTTATATCTTAAATTCTATCCATAGTTATTTCGTGGTAGGACCATTAGCAAAGAAAAAAAAGTACCTATTGTTTCGATATTGTCACTTTGTGATGATATAAATAAAGATTAAAGTAAATATTAACCTGATATTTTATTTATTTTTAATTTCTAAAAAATATTTTATATATTTTAGTCTGTAATATAGTTTATTTACGTTTTGGTTCTTTCTTAAAAAGTATGTATAAAAAAACAAGGCTAAAATATAAGTAAACTTAGCATATTTAAAAACTAAATTATACATATTAATAATATTTTTTAGAACTAATTAATTTTAAAAAAGTAAAGATAAATAAAAATGTCATTTTTAAATATTTATTTCCTTGGAAAGGATATTACTAAATGGAGAGATGACATTTACAATCATAGAATAAATTTTATTTATCTAAATAAACAAATAGTTTTTTTTTTACTTTCTTCTCTGCGTTTTTTGAAACGTAAAATGTCAAACGCCGAGCCAAATCATTCAACTGTCAAATATCGTCAATGGATTGAATTACAGATTTTTTATGTACCAAAGAAGAAATACCAATTTCTTCATGTTTCTTTATCAATCTCTCGCCACTAATCTTATTTTTATCTAATACCTTAACTAAGATTATATGGTTAATAAAGAAATATTATACTACTCTTTTATAATAATATATGAAATAAAATTATAAATTTTTAAAATATCTATAATAAAATATAATTTTAATGAACAAATAGGTTTTGATAAAGAACTCAACTTATTAATTTGAAAAATATTGTTTATTAGCTTATTTTGATTCCCGGCCGTAGTTATTTTAAAACGTATTCTTTTAAATATAAACATCCACCATCATAGTTTGAAAATTTCTGTGATGTGCTTAGTTTTAAAATTCAGAAAGTTGAAATATATATAATGCAACTGATTAAAATTATATTATGAACAATTATAAACAAAAAGTAGCATATTTTAATACTAAACTACATTTATTTAAAATTTATTAAATATAAATAATTATAAGTTTTTAAAAAGAGTATAAATCCATATATTTTAAATAATAATAATATAAAAAATAGTATAATTAATTATTAAAATTCTATCATCACTAATATTATATTTTTAATTAAATTTCTAATATGTACCTAAACACACAATAAGGCTTATTATATTGTAAATTTTTATTTGAATTCATTAGATTCAATACATTAATAATATAATAATTTCATAAGAATATATTATTTATTAATTTTATTGATGATAAAAGATATCAGTTATATATAATTAAAATTGACATTATTCAAATTTAACTTTTTATCATTTGTATATATTTGCATGATTAATAATATTAATTTTGTTTTTAATATTATATATATATATATATATATATATGAGTATAATAATGAAAAAAATTATGAAAAATTAAAAAGTAAAGTTGAAAGAATTGTTTTTAATCTAAAGCTTATTTAATTATGTAATAAATTAAACACAACATCCAAAAAAAATAGACATTGTAAAATGGAGAATATATTCCTAAAATAAAATTATACAATAATGGACACAATATTTTTTATACTTACCATCGTATCATTCACTTAATCACACATTTTCCCCTTTTCTTTGTACATCTTTCTCTATATCTCTTTTGTTCAATAATAGTAGTATATATTATTTTAATTTTTCCAACTACACGTGATAAAAATTTATGAACAGAAATTTTTTATTAAAAATAATCAAATATCACAAAATTTAATGCATTAATAACATTAAAAATTGTATTTCTTTTTTTAAAAAAATCTTATCCGATAAAAAAAAAAAATTGTAAGAATATGATATCTCTTCTAGAATACTTTAACCTAGCGGGGGTAACCCGTTGTCCATTCTGCAATCCGAAATATCAACATCCTCTGTTCTCTTCTCCATGAAAACAATAATTGAATTGCTTTGAATTCAATCAAGAAAAGGTCAACTTAATAATACATCGTAATCTCAACCCATATTTAATGTTTTCAAGCAATGCTTAATTGCTCAATCAAGTAACCCTGACAATATTTGAATATACTCATGTTCGTTAATCATTAGTCAGCTAAATGCAGTCAACATATCGATTATATTCAACTAATATGTCATGACATGATCATCATTCATCGGTATCAAACGAATCTTCTTTCTTAGGCGGCTTATTCAATCCCATAGCCCTGACGACCATTTCTACAAGACAACAATGATAGATTACTGAGGGCGGAGTTTACATTTTTCTTGTGAGGGCCAGGAATTATAGTGTAATTGAAGGAAGCTAAATCATAATAACAATATTTAAATGAAAAAAAGTATTCAATAGGGAATAAGAACAGATATGAGAATGAAAATAAACACTCCCCACATCCCAATGTCTTCTATTGTTTCACTTATGCATGTGTGCTCACTCTCACTAAGGACATCAACTTAGTACTTACTTGGATGTCCAAGTACCCCTTTGTCCTCTAGACAGCATTCCATTCATCGTAATGTTCTAGAACCTTCCAGAATCATTTCCACGTATTCACCGTCCCAATATCTAAATT